ACTACCTGGAGAGAATATTAGACTTTCCCAACTGGATAAGGGGTTTTTAATTCCAGAGGTAACCTAACACTCAACCATCTCCACAAAGCCTAAAAGTCTCTGCCCTGCTGGCATTAATTTTTAATAGCATGGGGGTATTTCAGAGAGTGCCGATAATGTGACAGTTATCAAAGGGCAAGTGAAATGACTGGGTAATTACAGGGCATTCACCTGACATCAAGCCCAAGTAAAAATGGAAAGATGATATCTAACTAAAGTGATCATGAATCAAAGGGGTAAGAATAAATACAATGATTTTCTACAAAATTGGCTGTATCACACAAAGCTGATCTCATTCTCTGACAGGATTACACATTTGATTGATAAGGTAATAGATTTGCAACAGTGTATGACAAAATACTTCAACTTCCTCATGGTACAGTATATCAGACAGCAAATACTAAATGGGCTAAGAAAAGGCAGATTAATTGATGAATATCTAATCTGCTTGAGCAATTCTCAATTTGGTACTATCAAAGTGTTTCTAATGGGGGAATCCTCTTCTCCCAAAGTTCGTGAAGGAAAATGTTGACATAAATCACTAGTCACAGACCTGTGGAAAAGGAGATTAGACAAGGGAAGGATAATGAGGCTTGAACAAGTAATACTATGGTGCTGGCTCTTCTGGCTGGCTGGGACCCACAAAACTTCTTTTCATGAAGATAAGCAGGACCTCAGAGGGGTGGGAATGGGGAACGTTGACATTCAGGATGGAGAAGTGCATCATGAAAAGCTGTGAATCTGAGAAGAGTCAAACAACAAGAGTTCCCAGCCCAATTTCATGGTATAAAAGGCTTAAATTGATCTTTAGATGTGCAAAAAGCAGAACAGAGAATAGGAATCAGTGATTTTTGCCTCTATAAATGGCACTGGTGGGACCTATGCTGGAATATCACATCAATTTCCTCTGTGAACAGATGTTTTAGAAGATGTTGAAAAATTGACCTACTGCAGAATAAAGCCACAAAATTGACTTAAAGGCTGGAGAAAATGCAGTGAGAGCCATAAAAAGCTTGTTTTTCAGAAAAAAGAAGATGGAGAGGCTACTTGATCACAGTGCATTAGTGTCTTCATGGAGGCAGAAAACAGGTATGCATAGTCTAAAACACAAAGAGACGGCAAGAAGCAGAGCCTGGAAGTTGAAGCTGGACCAAAACAAATGAGGAATGAGGCATGTGTTTCTACCCACGAGTTTTGACTACTCCGTGAAAAGTTGGGAGAGCAGGGCAGATGCACTCTGCAGACTAAATGCCTTCCCCAAAAACATTGTTAAGCCATTCAGATGTCAGCAAGCCCTGGGCATGCAGGAGATTAAATCATACGTGCCACAGCATCCAATTCAACAAAGCAGTGTTTTCTGCTGGCATTGTTCCCTGAGAATAAACCCAAATTTTTATAATAAATTGCTGAACATTTAAATCATCATTAGATGTCAGCTCATTTCCATTTCCAAAATTTATTCTCATGCATTGACAAGATTAACAGTGTAAAATTTATGCTCAGCTTGTGCTTTTGTGGCTGTCCTCTGAATCTTGTGAAAAGGAAGCTTTTTATTTTTTAAAAAAAAACTTTTTTCCTGCTGGACACACTTAGGATTTTACAGCAAGACTCTTTTTTACGATTTAATTAATTTTACAGCAGCCTAACCCCAGTATAAAGGTGAGATATTAATTTGATACTAGTTAAATCTTCAGTACTTCATGAAAATGCAGTCTTACATGCTCTTATTTGATACTTCAAATGTCTATAGAAAACAGCAATTAATAAATTGATGTTAGTAGTCACACATAACATGCAACTATCCATATTAAATTTCTTTTACCACTCTAAGCCTTTTGTAATGTCACAGAGAATACCGTGGGCATCACTTCAGAACTTATGTCAGAGTTATGTTCATTAGAAATCTAAAATGGATTAGCAATCTGTCCTTCCCTATCACCAAGATCAGATGTCACTGTTGTTGCAGGCAGACTCCACACAAAAGGGATTCCACAAGGTGTAACGAAGTCAGCAGGAGAATGCCAGATCTTTACAGCAGAACTGTAGCTGTGAAGGGGGCTTTGGGGATCACATATAGGTTCTTAGCCAAAACCACTGTTTTCTTTACCTTCTACAGCAGAAAGATTCCTTCTTAGAAAACTGAGTACAAATTTAAGACATTTTCTAGGATGAATTAATCCTCTATATTGTTTCACTCCCTTTGATTAATAAATACTTCAGAGTCCTTTTGAAACTTAAGTCTTTCCTTCCTCCCAATGCAGAGTCCCAGAGTGGACAGGTCATCTTCTACAAACTCCTACTTTCACAGTCAAGCATCTCTGGGTTTTATGGCACAAATCAGATTTCACACTGATGCAAAAGGGTTTTCTGATGTCCACAACAAAACCAGGATGACAAAATGGTGTGAGCACTCCCAGCAGCCATCCAGTCCGAGGGACCTGTACATTTCTCACACATACTCTGCCAGAAACCAGACTGCTGGAGGTCAAAAGCAAACCCAGCAAACCAGAGGAGTCCAGCACAACAGAATCAACCCCACTTCATCTGTTTGCCATCATGTCCTGGGGGCTGCATCACTGACACCCCAAATGTGCAGCTTGAACAACCTCTGCCCCCAGCCTGCCCCACGCCTGTAACTGCATGTGAGGAGCCTTTGAACACCACATCACCTTTTGCATCTCGGTCTTGAACGCAGCATTATCCCACATCAGCATTCCAGACCAGCCAATCTCAATGCAAATGGCCAGGTTTGCACTAACATCCCACTAAAAGTGATGAATACATTTAAAATCTTAGCTGCTTATCATACTTTTAAAGGGAAAGGATTTTTCCTGATATAAAAGTAAGGCTCAGTATAGCGTAACTCAAACGCAATTCTAAAATAAATGGAATTTCATAGTAGTCACAACCATCTACTGGCAGTGGGTTCAACCAAAATACACTTCATATGCAAATGATCACACTGGAAAAAAAATGACTCATCTAGAAATGGAATGAGGCTGAATTAATTAGTGTTAAAGTTTATAATCCCTCATTTTTACATAATAGTTACATGACCACAACTGAAGCATAAATGGAGGAGGTAAAAAAAATGAAGTGTTTGGCTTCATTAATCAGTTCATAAGTTTACTGATTTAGCTTGCAGAATTTATTCACATGCAGTGCTGGCTTAAAACCCCATATAGTACAAGTCCAAATCCTACCCAAGATACAGAAGAAAAGGATCTCATTTTTAAATTTATTTAAATAAATTACCTGAAGAGCTTAAGGATGAAGCAGAGAATGTGCAGCACTGCAAATTTAAGAAAATACGGGAAATTGGATTTCAAAACTACATTCAAGGCAGAAATCAACAGCAGAAGGAAGCAACATTAAGCAGTGAACACTTGACAAATTTGAGTGTTGCACAAGCATAAGGCTTTAGGAACACCCACCCTAACTATTTCTTACTAAATGATGCTTTTGAAGTACCACTCCAACTTCACTAAGTATCTTTACAAAAATCCTTTTGTCAGTTCCCAAATATTTTGTCTCTTTTGACTGGTTATTTTTACAGCCACTGTCAGAAACCAGACGTGAATCTATTCTCTGTTAACATGGCCATTCCCACTCCTGAAAGACAAAGAGAGACACAAGACCTCACACTCTACTCCCTTTATTCAGACTGCAAACCCAGGTGTGGTGCTGGTACCTGCAAGGCCATCCAGGTCAAAGCATACCTGCCCATGCTGAGCCCAGGCTCTCACCAATCAACTTTATTATTATACAGCAGGTATTAAACTTTGTATCTAATTGTGCTTTCAAAGCTGCATGTAAAAGTGCAATTGGAGTCAGACATGAAGTTACTACTACTCCCTTCCTCAACTACTCTTTTGCCCAGGTGCCCTACAGTTTAAGGTACACAGAAAAGAAAAGAGGGAAATGTCCAGGGTTGCTTCATGTCCTAAACCTCAAGAGTTCTTTTAAAAAATAAAAAAATAAACAACACAAAGTTGTAAGAACAACTTTGCTAAATATAATAAATAGAAAGGGAAGGGTCTTTCCTCAAAAAAACCCTCTAATTAGAAGCCTTTTCTCTAATGGACAAACACTGAAAGCAGAAGTTGGACCAAACTGCTCAAAATTACTTAACAGCAAGATCCCAAAGTGTCACATCTAAACTGCAAAACCAAGGAGGTCCAGGAAAGAGAAGACTGTTATCAGCCAGGAGGCAGCATTTCTTTTAAATACATTTTTGAAGGAGCTAAAGCTGTGTTTTCTTGTCATCTTTATTCAAGTATTTCACAGCAGTTATATTACAAATTACAGTAAAATGTTCAAAATTTCCAGAAGTTCGAAAAAATTAAATAACTTACTTCAAACTAACGTAAAATGAAGTCAAAATGCAAAACATCAATTTAAACACAATTCTGAATAAAACTATAGAATCCAAAATATACCATAGCTGATGAAGGAAGTCTACTTAATCCACAAAGTAGACACACGTTAATGAAACCAAACAGGACGCCCCAATGTCTAAATAACCCAATGTACAAGATACAAAAGATGCAAGTACAAGCCCAAATTCAAGCTTATGTTGTGATTACAAAAACAAAAACAAAACAAAATACTATCAGCTGCAGGACCTGCCATTCAGGAGACTGAAGGTAAAACCAGCGCTGACTCACCAAATTAATCCAAAAAAAAAAAAAAACAATCAAAAAAACCAGGAAGACAAGATATTACAAAAACCCAGTAATCCTATAAATACATTGGCATATGAGGAAATCAAGTAACAATACAGAGGACACAAAACAAAACAAAACAAAAAATCACAGGTGAGATTCAAGCTTGCAAATACAATTAACTCCAGAGCCATCACCCAAGAGCAAATCTATCACTCCAAAACAGCCCCCCCCCAGGCCCCCAGGGAAACCTCCTCCTCCTGGCTGGCCACATTCCATAGAGTCCAGCACAAGGACTCACACAAGGAGTTTATTTGCAATTTTCACAACAAGAAACAAGGAAGAGAGGTCAATTTGTACAAACTCTTGCCAGTGCTGTGTGGCAAAAAAAATTAAAAACATACAAAGAGTAAACAAGTTTAGACCACATGGATAGATTAACAGCTGTTTTAACTCTATAACCACCAGACATCTGTAAAGGAAAACAAAAACTGAAGTGTGGTTATTTGGGCTAAGAAGGCGAGTATATCATTTTAGGTAAGCTGTCCACTAGAACATCTGATATTAGCTACATTTCTCTAAAACAACATGGCAGCTCCTCAATTAGTAAAGTTGCCTCTTAATGATTCTTCCCAATCAACAACTGACAGTAAAAATTTTCCTTTAGAAACGTGACCTTTTAGAACCTTTTTAAATGCTAGGTATTAGCTTAAACTTGCTTTTTACACTCACTGGTGACTAAAATTCTCAACTGTTTTAGTTTATATAAATTTATTATCTTAAAAATGAATACAGTTTTATCTTCCACAAGTGCTGCTGTTACTTGAACAAAAACTTCTTTGAGTAAGTGAAACTGGAATAAATATTTTTAAAAAATTCTGCAGCAAGAACCTGAGACTTGCAAAAAACCCTTTTATCAGAAACTTGCTACAAAAAATCTGCTACATTTCATTTAATCAAATCTTAAAGTTTGTAACAATTTCCATCAAAATACAAAATGCTGTTAATGTACCAGACACATAAATATCTCAAACAGGTATGATGCTAATAAATACTAAATGAAACATGGAAAAAAATCCCATAATCAAATCTGAGATCAAAGAATCTCATTTAAAATGTGTTTTCTGCTTGTTTTTGTTGTCTTTAATCGCACTTTCCCACCTAAAAAATACAGTGTTTCTGCATGGGTTGCATTTAGGTGTAACTAGATGTACATGAATGCTTAAAACCTTTTGCTGCCATTACCTATGAAGAAAAACAGTGGCAACCAGGGGAGAAAAAGATCTAAGATAGACTGATGTTTAACCATAATGGACAAAAAGCACTTTGGATTACTGCAGTAGCCCAAGGCCCATATTTTCTCTCTCTGCAGCACTACCCTGGGATGAGCCGTAGAGGTGGAGACAAGTCCCTAAGCCTGGGTTTGTACATGGGAGCAGCGTGATTGCAGTCCTCCATAAACACTGTTGGTAACTAAAATACAAAAAGCTGAGGTAGCTCAGGATCTCTGCAGTAGTCTGTTTTCACTATTTAAAACTAATCACACTGCGTTGCATATTTCTGGACAGACACTTCTGCAGCTACATAGGGACAGTCACAATGAATGGTTCAGGATGGGAACACCAGCCAACTGCTCTAGAACACTTTCCACATGGGTGTGAAATAAACCAGCCCAGGTAATGTTCTAATACCGAGCTTGTGATAAAACATAAAAATTGCCTAGACTATTCTCTCCAGTTGCCAGAAAGGAAAGGTGTTGAACTACACAATTCAGTCCAAGAGAACTCTTAGAAAAGATGGTTTCAAAAGGCTTTCCTCCAATCCTTCCCACAGTAACAATTCTTTGCACAGAACAACTTGTGAAATCTAAGAGAAGCTTTATTTTCAGCTGAGGCTGGGCTCCAGGACTTTGACCAACTATAATGTCTTCTTGCCTGCACTGCACAGTCCGAGCTATATTACAAACACAGACCTTCCCAACGAAACCTGCCAGCATTAACCTTGCCTTCCTTAGAGAACTCTCACTGGAAAACAAGGACATGGTGGGAAAATGCTTCATTTTTAGCAACACAGAAGAGTTTCACTGTGTAACTTGTTTCTAAAACAAAATATATACCAATGAAAAAGGAATTTCACCATTTTGGTAAAGTATGTGGCTTTTTCAGTGTGTCTTAGTTTAGTTCTGTAGAGTAAGACAGGCATTATAGAACCATAATACTGGTTGCCATCCAATGAAGAGAATATAATTCATCCTTTAGGAGATCTTCATTCTGCAGACAGCTTTCTAACATTGCCATTTGCTATAATCCAAACAAATTGTTTAGCCTTATCTTTCTCAATTGACTAAAAGGCACATTAAAGGCAGTTCTAGAGAGCCTCATCTTCAAATTTCTGTACATCCAGTTACTCAAGATTCCTACCACAATGCATCACTGCCTTCTTTAGGACAGATTTTTTTTTGTCCATAACCCCAGAGAAGAGAAAAATTTGAAAAAAAAAAATAAAAAAAAAGGTTGCCTGTTTAAAAATATTCAACTTAGATCTGCTCTTTCCAGTCCTCTTGTATGTGTTGGTCTTCACTTTGCCTGAAGTTTCCCCAAAGATAATGCATGTAGAGTGAACAAGAGCAGGAATGAGAACAGTTTCTGTAGCACCAAAAATCTCCAAGCTGTGGCATTGTATTCTTTATTTATATCAGATACAATTATGTGAAGTTCCGTTTGGTTCTTGTAGGCTGGTTGGTTTCAGGTACCTGAGACAATAGCACCAAATTCAACAGAAACAAAGAGAGAGAGCACTTAAGACCAAGGCTCTGCACATACTTGGTGCAAATGGAAACTGAATGGCTCAGAGGACTGCTCTCCCATGAGCAGTTTGAGAGGATAAACCCACCCATCTTGACGAGTTCACAGGAATGTTTCAAACACATGAACTGTTCTTTCCATCTCCTGAAAAAGACACAGACCATTAACTATTCATAAATATAGAGAGACAGAAAGAGAGTTCGTTTATATAGTAGTACTTACTGTGATACTTTTTTTAATCTGAACAAATAAATATATGAAAACAGACGTTTCTGTTTATTAGCTGCTATCTGCTAGCAAAATATTATAAAAGAGGGAACTCATTAAAGAAGTATTAATGCAGAAAACCACTCTATTATGATAGTCCATGAGAGAAATCAAGGCTTATTACGGTTACTTGTATAATTAATGTGCTCAATATATATTAGAAAAGCATTGCAGTGGTACACTGCATGACTTCAAGTCTTAACTGCACACTTATGCTGTTGGTGACCCAGCTGTAACCACATGTCTGCACAGTTTAGATAATCAAAGTAAAGATTGGTCTCTACACACTCCTGCTGGACAAATGCCTTTTTAATCTACCTAACATCTTGCACAGACTCTCAACACATTTTTAGGTGAATATGGCAGAGAATAGCATGAAAACTGTTTGAAAAGTATTCTGCAGGAACTCTACAGAACCTCCCCACTATGGCTTTTCCAGGTTGTGTTGTAAATTATTCATAGAGAAAAATATTTAGTGCTCAGTGATTCAACTGGAAAGTAGCAATTGTTGTCCTTTTCTCAGCAGGGCTGGTTGTCAGTTGAATCAGCAAGCTGATCCAAACCCCTCTGCAGTTAGAATAGTGGTGATGGAGGGGAATGCACACACAGAGCTGGCATCAGCCTGTGCCAATGGTGAAATGACCAATTTGCTGTTGATGTACAGGAGGCCTTGGAGGGCAAACACTTCAGTGACAAAGGATGACAGCAAGGCAGACACCTGGATTCCACCATGCTGCACTGCATTTGTTCTGCAGAAAGCATCCTTAGAAACAACTGCCAGTTTCTAAGTTACTACACCAAGCTTTTTTCTTTTTATATATACTTTCTTCAAAGTCTATTAAAGGTTTTGCCTGCTAGTAGAACACTGAATTGACAGATTAACAGTTTCTGAAAAGCCTATCTCACAATATTCAGGTAAGAATAAAAGAAGCTGTACAACATCACCTCTATAAGTTGTGATTTGTCATAGTCTCTACGATGTCTGTAGATGCATTGACTGAGGAGTGAATACAATCTCTCCAGTTGGTCAACAGTCAGGTTGTCACTTTTCTTAACTACCAAATCAAGCAGTTTCTGTTGAAACAACAAAAGGTGAAGTTGAGTGTTTCTAGAATAATTTTTAAATTTTTTTTAAGGACAAATCAGAAATGCAATGTCTTTCTGAAGCCCTCCTTTGAAGGGATACATACAAATGAAATGAACCACACCTGGGTATCAGCAGGGCCACTGCTTCAATATTTATACAAAAAGGACTTGATGTCTCTTCACTTTTCCAATTATACCCACACTTTTCCTCTTAAGATTCTTTTACTCAGTATAGCCGGGGCAATGTTTGTTCTTTTGGAATGCTACTTCATCCCATTTTATCTTGGTCAGTCATCATAACAAAGCAAACCCTAAAAACTTCGATGGCTAAAGATACATTTTTAGGAACTTACACTGGCAGAGAAAAAATGTACCACCACATGAAAACATTGGTACTTCCACAAATGTTGATAAATGGAACAAAAAAAGAGAAGGGGGTAGAAGGAGGACACAACACATGTAAAATTTCTAATAACAAAGGTGAAAGTATTTTACATAGTAGCAAAGAGTGACATTTAAGATTTTTTTTTTCTCCTGTCATAACAATTCTATGGTTTTCAAAGAGCTTATCATCTGTACTCCACAGAAAATGGGATCTAAATTTCATAGGTCACAGTGGGTCAAACTACTTTTCACAACAGAAGAGAGCAAACTTTCTTGTAACTTTGCTTAAAAAAAACTGAAAGAAAATTAACTAGCAGTCTATAATGCCAAAACATCAACACAAATTCCTATTTGCTTTCCAATCCACTATGTTTTCTCCACCAAGTATGCCTACACAGGAAAAGATGATGTTAACTCCCAATTACCAAGCACCCAACAGTTTCTTGGTACCTGGCACAGCCAATTAACACGAGTACCTGCAAAAATGGCAATTAAAAGAGTGGACTTCTGTGTCATTACTGGATTATAAGGGTAGTAATGATGGAACAGTAAGGATTCAGTAGTTTTATTAACTTTTCATCCAAAAAATGCTGATTGACAAATCATTTCTAAAAGTTACTACCATCAGAATACTTGTTTGCAGTCCAAACTGAAGGAAATGTTGCTTCAGAATACAGAAAGGAAGCTTTTTTTTCAGTCTGTTAATAGTTCAATTTATTTTTTCAGTTCTGTTACCTTTAATCTGTCATGGTCAACAACCACAGAGGGTAAGGGATCTGAAGGTTCCTCTGGAACCTGCTCCAAACTTGTGGGCTTTGACTGCTCCACAGCGACTTTTCGCGTTTTCTTGCTTTTGAACAAACCTGTAATTTGAAAAAAAATTATCAGCACTGTCAGTCCCACAAAATGCAGCCTATTTCTTCACTTCAGTTTGATTTTGCTTGTTTAGTTTGTTGGGTTGTTTTGAATCAAGCAAGATTGTAGCAGTGCACATTATTCATCAGCTTTGCTGAACTCTGAATGTTTACAGGTGCAGAAACCCACAGTTCAGAAGACACACACAAAACTGGCAATCTTTAAAACCCAACTCCAAAGCGACAACTTTGAATGGAAACTGAATTCTACTAAGAGTTCTCATCGTATCTTTCTATTCGACAACAACAAATTAAATGGCTTCAAAGCAAGTTCACACATTAGGCAAATGCTGAAATTCTTTCTGCTCAAGTGAAACAAATCTTAATTTTTCTCTAAAGCATCCCAAGTCTTCATCATCACAATATTCCAACATCTGCTCTACTCAAAACCTCATGCTTACATGTTTCTGTTTTCTTCCACCTCTGTATTCAAGCTATTGACCAATCCTATTGCAAAGAATGAAGTATTTTCCTATTTCTTTATACTCTCTCTACATTCATTCACTATTTTTCTCCTCAACTATTTAAAATGCCTTTTCTTCTGAGGACCCCTGCTATTATAACCATCCTAAAGCGTACAAAATTCACCAATCAAATTCAGAAATGTAAAGGCTCTTAACACATCATGCGCTTCTTGTGATATTCCTAAGACCTTTCTTGTATTATTCTCCTTACCCTTAGAGAAAATATGTATATACAAACATCCAACATGTACACAGTAATCTTCTCATAATTCAGATCTCTCATTAAAGCTCATTTACTTTGTAAATCTCAGCGCTAACTTTTGAAGTAAAGATTTCATTCTTTTAGATAATTCTGAAAGCTCATTAAAAAGGCAATCATGCATAAGGCTTCTATTTCTGTTCCCTGAGGAAACGATCTCTCTTGTCTTCAAAGGACATGGCCCCTTCTTTTATACACCACCAGAATTTTCCTCCTCTTCTTATCTTTTTCCTGCACTGTTATTGTGTTCACTGTGACTCCAAAGCCAGATACCTTCTCCAACAGATAAACAATAATCTGGCTTTTGCTATGAGTTAAACTACTTCAACTTTTGCTATGAGCAAATTTTTAAAGGAATACATTCTTTATTTTTATGCTCTTCTACCCAATGTCAACAATCATATTATCATATTCTCTAACAAAATAAGCCAATATCTATCATGTAGATCAAAATATAAATCAGACAGAATATACAGACCAAAATATGTACTGTATTTCTTGCCATTTATAATATTTTTAAATATTTAATTATTGTTTTAATGTTACCTCAGTATTTCCGACAAAGCTGACAAATATGAATGGAGTAGTGTTAGTATGGAGATAAGCTTTCTTGCCTAAGATAAAAATGCAGCAAGTCAAGACTGCACTTCTAATTTTTCTATGTGGAATTAAATGCTGTAAGCACACTATGAGTTTCAAATAAATAGTAATTAAAAAATATTACTATATAATAATAATTGTAACAGAAGGTATTACAGCGAAAAATACACACGTTAACTTGGACACTGAGATAAAGGCAAAAACAAGACAAACAAACTATACCTTCTTTATCTGCTTCAGCATCTTTAGTTTCAATGTCTGTGCTCTGTAGCATTTTCTCGTTATTGCTGCAATGTGGTAACTCAGCTTTCACCGGACCAGTTCCTTGACTTTCACTGGAAGCTTCCATTTTCTCCTTTGGCTGATCTTCAGATAAAGATTTTTGCTTGTTACTAGACCCATCACTGTTGTCACAGGGTGAAGCAGCATCAAGTGATTCTACTTTACCATTATGACAGGCTGGAACAGGTACACCTTCGGAGCTGTGTACAGATGTCTCTCCATTCACACAGTCCCCTTTCAATGTAGAGTCCTTCCTTAATTCTTTTTCAGCACCCAGGATAACACTGTCAGTTATTAACAGGGATTCATTTGAGCTCTCTTCTTCTGTTGATGCAAAATTGTTTTCCTTTCCTGATGTCCCATTGTTAAGCCTCTGCTCTGCATCTATATCCATAATATCACAAGAGGATTCATCATTTGTCATAGAGAGGTCTCCTGTTTCCTCTCCATTCTCCTCAATGCAGTCAGTGCTGATCTCTAGCTCTCCATTTTCCAGCAATTTACTGTCCTCACCATGATTTTCATCATCAGCAAACTTTGCATCATCTTCATCTTTCTTTAAATTATTGACTTTCCTCTTCTTAATAATGCCTTTGCCCCACTGTGAGCGCCGTCTGGATTTTCTCCTTATTCGAACTGAAAACAAACAACACAAACACTTTTAGATGCACAGGCACCCCTCCATAAAGAGACCAGGATGTAACAATATGGTTCAGTGAAGCAATCTTCATTCTTCAAGGAAAAATAAGATGTCTGTCAATTTGAATGTGAACAAATTAGAGGTAACAAGGAATTTTAGAAGTATAAGGAGTGGACACTCAGTCATCCACTCAATTCCTAAACTATAGAAACAAGAAATTCGTACTTAAAACAGCTAAGCAATGATGTAGTAATTTGGGTAACTCATATGGATAATGGAGACTCTAAAGACAGTTATTCTCATTTTCCCTTTTTAGCTCCTCAGTGATTTGAAATGATTATACAATAGAACAAATGAAAGTGCAATCCATGGATTTATAGGACAATTCAGTTGGAAGGGATATGAGGAAGCCTCTAATCCAACCTATTACTCCAACCAGAGACAGATGTGAGGGCCATATTGTGCCACTCAACCTGAAGCAACATAGGCATGTGATCCTTTTTCATTATTTCTCCAGGAAATTTTACTTTCTCTTATTTCTTAGTTTTATTTTCTGTGCCTTTGAAAAATTACATAATAAACTATTTTTCAGAAAGGTCATTTTCTTTTATTAACCTATCTGTAGTGAGATACAACTAAGGTACCGATCTAAAGGCTTTGGGGCATATTTGTAATTTAATGGGCAAATGCAGAAGGAAGACCATTCAAACCTAATGCCACTGTCAACATCCTTTTCAAAAGCACTAACTAGACACAGTTGAGAAGACCGAGGAAAACACTGGGAAAAAGTGAAGCTTCTACGTTCAAATCCAAGCAATGATAAAGACTGTCCTAGATTCGCAAAATCGCTTAAGCTGTGGGCAACTACTATAAATGAAAATCACAGCCAACAGTAACCAGAGACTGAAAAATTTCCTTCCACTTCGAAGTGAACTCTTATGCTGAGCACCTCCATAATGTTCTTTATATCTGTAAGTTGCTTTGATTTATGGGGTATTAAGTTCTACACCTGTGTCTGCCAACCACACACTGAGCTACAAACATCTTGCTTTGAAGATACAAGCATTATACAGGTACAAGTGTTGAGAATGAATTCACAGCCACTCAGAAGCACAGTTGTACCCAGAACTTTTCCCCATGAGTGCTGTATGTAAGCAGGTAGTTTAGCAACTACATTAGAAGTAAATCTTAACCTTTTAGCTGTAAAGGTATCTAAAGATACAATCACACTGCAATAAAAACAGTCTCACTTGGAATGTGTATTTATTGTTACAAATAATCTTTATGGAGAACTGCAAGATTTTGGGGGGGGGAAATCCTTTTTCTCCAGCTATATTCAAGATCTGATAGTGACTTCTATCACCAATGTCACTCTTTTATTGATGATAAACTACAACCTACTCACATAACTTTTCAGGAGTTCATGTATTTTTTTCTCTAAATTGTGCAAGAGATTTTCATTAATCACTGAAGCAGCAAATCTGAAACTAAACAGTGAAATGTAAACTTACAAAAATAAAAATAATCCTCTATTACGCAATGGATTGAGCCTCAGTGCAACTCCAAAGATGGGTGAATAGAAGTCTTTTGACTTCTATTCTGAATGTATAAATAAATAAGTTGAAATTTTTAAGGATACACTGATTTTTGGCTGCTTAGGCAGACTTTGCTGTAATTCAGATGTTGTGAAGTATATTTGACATCTTTTGTATCAGTGAACTGTACTTCAAATATTTACTGGTGTATCTGTCCACACTGAGTTCCACCTGGGATGAGAACCCACAATTTGCCTAAACACACAAGTACGTTCCTAAAATTCTTAGGTATGAGAGAAATCACTTTAAAGCAAATTAAATTAATCCTTGTATTACCCATCTCATTAAATTTCAAGTCTTTCCCAAGTGAGAGTCAGCAAGTCCAGCTCACTCAGTGTCCCATGCAGTATTTTTGAACAAGCATTATGTGTGTTGTTTTTTACTGCTGTTTTTAATTAGGACAAAGCAACAACAAAAAGTGAGACAGAAATGTCTTTTGGAATGACAGAGGAAATTCTGGTTCCAGATCCTTAGCAACCAAAACATTGTTACATAGATTTTTCTTTTACACAGAGTGAAAACGTTAGGCAAGTTTACTAAATGAGTGAAAAGTTGGGCAAGGAATACAGCATTTAAAAACAAAACCCACCACCAGACTTTCTGTCCTGCTTAATTCCCCCAGTTAAGGGAGTGGTACAAGTAGAAGTGCTTAATGGACCAGAAACCATGTGACAAACTGTAGACACTAACACCAGATTTCATAACCTATGTAGGTCCCCTTTATATTTCCTGGAAATAAAAAGACACTACTGCAAGAGTATAATGGATCTGAGAAGCTGCCATATGGGGCAGGAAACTGACTCCTACAGGACAGTTGATTATGACTTTAAAAGGATGAAGGAGCTACCACAGGGTAAAACTGATGCAAAGGGCCAGTGGGGAGGAACTAATGGGTTAACAGATTGCTGCTAAAAAATAAACTTAACCTGGAATCCCATCTTCACTTCCGTAATGTTTGTATTTTAGAAGATTGTAAACTATCAAGAGCAGAATGCCAAAATTTTTATTTTCTAGTCAGTATGATTCATGCCACACTATCAGCTTCCTGTAGATAACAAAATGGGACAGCTATGTACAGAAGAAAAATTTTGAGTGAACTTTGTTTAAAAAATTAACATAGTACACACAATTGCAACTTAATACCTTAACACTTTACAATTACTCCTTTCAAAACTACTCATCAGAAATCTCCCAATTGATACCCAGTCTTTTGGCAGTATTTGTGCCAGAGGCAGTGGAAATACTATTGTCAGAAGAATCCTGCTTTATAAAACTGAGTTTCTCTAACTCCAACTATTATAATAGCAATTATTCACACATGAATACATTCACTTGCCTTCTAAATTGGCCAACTATTCACTCTATAATACTCACATAACCTCTGCAGATTTGCCAAAGAGATCTTAATTTCAGTTCTAGCTTCTGTCTGTTTTGCTGTTTTGTAAATTACTAATAAGCATTTTTAATAACAATAAATACCTGTCTGACCACAAGTCACACCTAACACTTCACTCAGGTTCACGTGAAGTTGGTATCAAAACTAAACTTCCCCTGCTCTTTTTTTCCTAAGATGCACAATCTACAGAGACAGCATTTTTTTGAAGTGCTGTGTAATACAATGCAATTAATCACTGAATGAAAATTTACATTTTGTTAAGCAGTAGTTGAAGTTCATCAATTCTTCCATTCCTATGTTAAGACAATTTCAGAGTAATCTGAAAGAACCATAAACAAAGCAGACAGCATTTACCATAGGCATCATTAAAAATAAACTTTGTACTGTCTTACTTCAGAAGAGCTAGTCCTCTAGACGACATTAAATAAAATGAAACCTGTAGCAGACTTTCAGAAATTCTGAATTCTTACCAACTGACAGGTGCTGCTTGAAGATTCTCCAGTCAGATACACTAAGTAATAACAACATCATCTGGTGACGTAAGTACCAGCCCTGTCCAGAGCAGAGCACTGTTCTCAGCTATTAAAGAACAGTGATAGTAAAAAAACCTAGAAACATCCTAAACAATATGAACCAAAAAATTCAACTCCTTCCCACTCTCCCAAAGCATTTCTGCAAGACCTAGAGGTAACCATGACCTTTCTGTTCACTATGGTCTCAGGAAAAGAGATCTCAAAAAAATGGGTGAATGGTACAGAAGCTGTGGAGCTGAGGTATGCACTGTTCCTGTGCCCCAAATCCAGCAGTACAGTGACAGAACTGTAGACTACAGAGAATTAACAGTGGAAAAGAAAGCAGACATAATTAGATGATTCAAAGACAGTCAATTATTAACAAGCAAGTCTGCTTCCCTTAATGTGGAAGAACCCTAATAAGATGCAGCAGAGATCTTTTTCTTGAAATTTCTGTAGTTTGACTACCGCAGTACCATAAGTGCAGCACAGTATTCAAGGCTAACAAGTTCACTTTATGCTGCAGAAAAGACCCCTTCCATGCTTCCACACTGCCTAAAACCCATCAGAGCATGTGAATCCTTTGTCAGCAAATGATAAAACTGACATCCATCAAACAGTAAATTCTCTGTTGTTACTGTATTTCATGAAGAATTCCTGGGGATTAAAACCCAAAGAAGATTCTTATGGCAAGGAAGATCACCACGGATCTAGATTTTTACTCTGCAGTATCAAGAACCACTTAAAGCAATTCACGTGTTTCAAGTTTTTCTTCCATGATCAAAACCCTCAACACCTTTCTGATGTCTTGTGTGTAAAGTAACTCAAAACCTTGAGAAATCACTTACAACCAGCAGCTTACACTCTCTTAAACAGCATCCAGGATATCTATGTACCTGCCACAGTAATTTAGCTGCTTCCAGTAGCTCCACATTCCTTACCAAGAGCCACTAAATAGTCCACTTGAAAGTCTCTGGAGTTTCTACTCACTAAGTCCCAAACTGCAGTCAGAGATAAGCAGCAAGAAAGAACAGATCACAGTTCCACAATGGCTTAAAAAGCAAGTGAGGTGCCAGCTTCCACTAACAAAGCCATTTCTCCCTCCAAAGCCAGCTATAGCATTTCCACTGCCTCATTTGTGCAGCACTACTGTTCCTGCAGTAAAACAGATAAGGAGACTAAATCCATCTGAAATGTTAGGTTGTTGGGGTTTTTTCTGGGTTAGTTTTCAACATCTTTGGTTGAGCTTTCCAACTCATGAATGACAGTGCCTGTACAGGGAACACAGTGGGAATATGCCACTGGTGACAAGGCAAGACAGCCTCTTTAGTAGTGACCTGCAGTTTGACCACCTTAAAGTGACTGTGGAACTAATCCCTAAAAGATGTAGTTTTCTTCACCTAGATGGAGGGCACTCAAAGCACAAAACTGACAAACACATGAAAAGAACTGCATGCAACAACTTCACATATTTATGATCTTTATCATCTTAT